GGAACCCAGCAACTGGGTTCAATGACCCGAGGAAGGAGAGGAAGAAAGAAGAGGAAGGAGAAAAAAGAAAAAGAGAAAGGAAGAAGATGAACTGAGTTATTTTATTTTATTTTTTAAAAATATAAATAATAATAATGTGAGTTGGCATCAAAAAAATCCACGTCTACATGTTTTTGATTTGTTTTTTGCCACGTCATCAAAAAAATTATAAAAAATGCCACATAAGCGAGTTAACGATCGAAATTAACAAAAGGACTAACGGAGTGCATTTCGTATAGTTGAGGGATTAAAAAAGTGCAAAAAATTGTTGAGGGATCAAAAATGTTCATTTCATAAAGTTAAGGGACCAAATTAAGCATTTAACCTAAAATTAACCGTCGTCCACACCAACTACCCTTGTAGAATATCAATACCAAACAGCAATCTAGTGGTTGGAAATCTCATAATTGCAAGCACAGATTTGCAAGCACAGATTAATAAAATAGTAAGATTCCACTCTTATATATAAGTAACTGTATTTATCAATCTTATTTCTAAAAATTAAGAAAAAATTATTTTAAAATTATGTTATTTTAATAAATTTTTATTAAAAAAATTAAAATATTTTATTTTAAGATATAAATTAAAATATTTTTAATCTTTTTTTATAATACTTTATTAAAATTACATAATTTTAAAATAATTTTTTTCTTAATATTTAATAAATAAAGTTGATAAACATTATTCTCTTTATATAATATGAGTCAATAAAATGTAGTAAAAATATGTTAAAATTTTATATAACCATAGGGGTCGTACATTAAGGTGAATATCCACTACTAAATTTAACATTAATACTTTTTCAACTACAATTCATTTTATCATTATCTAAAACCATAAATGTATTTTTTTTCAAAATAAGTTAATATTAATTTTAGTTTCTGTTTAGTATGCTTTTAGGTTTAAATTATATAAAATTTAAAATTTAATAAAATTTTAATCATTCATTTTAAATTTTTAATTATTCAATTTAACACTTAAAATTTTAAAATATGTGATTCAAAATTAAAATAAAATTTTCTTAAACTTATTCCAACAGAACTTCGCAGCTGCTTTTTAAAAGTTATTCTCATAAGTCACTTTCAAAACTTTTCCATGTATTTATTAAATCTTTAAAAAGAATTTTAAGGAAAAACAAAAATAAAAAATAAAGAAAAGGAAAACTAAATATATATATATGTATATTTTTTAAAAAAAAGCTAAAATTAAAATAACACGTGACGTGTGAAGAAGAGTACACGATTGGTCTCAATTTTCAACGGTCATGATTTCTTATGTTGTGGGTCCCACACGAATAGTTTTAATCAAGCCCATTGAGTGTGAATATACAAGGTACAACCCCAAAAAAGCGTTTAAAAAGTCAAAGAAACCATCAAAAGTACAGCAAGAAACAGCGGCAGTGAAAGAGTACAACAAGTAAATAAACTAAAAAGATAGGGGTAATTTAGTCATGAAAAAGTAGACTGCAGCTCCAGCCTTTGCCTTTGCCTTTGCCTTTGTATATATGCAAGTCCCCTACTCATACGCATCACCCTTGTATTTTTTCTTCCTTAATAACACCACCACGACGGCACCACCACCACCACCTCCACATCCTCGACCTGCCGCCGTGCTCTTCCTCCGTCTCTCTGTTTATTGGGTTTTCGGCATCTGTTCTGGGCATACTTATACAGGGATAGGAGTAATTGTGTATGTTTTAAGGATTCTACTTCTTCTTTTTTTCTGGTTTTGGAAGTTTGGTAATGGCGACGGCGCCTGTGAAGTCGCATCCTCTTCACAACTTTAGCTTTTCTTTACTTAAATGGGGGAAGCACGGCACTGCTACTGATCAGCGGCGTGGTTCGCCGGAGTTAGAATCTGATTCAGAGCCGCCGCGGCATACTCGGGTCGGGTCGCGTTCTGCTCGTGTTCAGCGGGTGTCGTTCACGACGAAACCCATCGGGCAACATCGACAACAGCAACAGGAGGATGGTTCTGTTCAGCTGGAGGAGGAGACGCAGCTGAAGAATCCGCGGCAGGAGGACGCCGTCTTGCCGGCGAGGCAGCGGAAACAGGCGGTAGGTGATGTGAAAGAAGGTAATGAAACAGGGGAGGAAGAGGAGGAACATGAGGAGGAGGAGACGGCGAAGAGACCGTGGAATTTGAGGCCGAGGAAGGCGGAGACCATGGTGACGGTGGCAGTGGAAAAGCAGAGCGAGATTGCAGTGACGGCTCCAAAGTCGATGAGATTGAGGGGTCTCGCAGAGAATGGAGTGGGAGTTGGGGAAAAGAAGGAGAAGAGGAAGTTTTGGATAGCCTTGTCCAGAGAGGAGATTGAGGAGGATGTCTACGCGATGACGGGGTCGAGGCCCGCCAGGAGGCCGAAGAAAAGGCCAAAGAACGTACAGAAACAGCTCGATGTAAGGGATCTTTCTGCCTTTCTTGTTTCTTCTGTAGTTTCGTAGGCCTATATTGTTTATGAATTACGATGGTCCTGTCCAGTTGTGATCTTAACATGGTTGGTTGTACGATTTTCTGGTTTCTAGAGCGTTTTCCCTGGGTTGTGGCTGGTGGGTACGTCGGCGGACGCTTACCGTGTTGCTGATTCTCTTGTTAAGGTCTGATCTTTCTGTATGCATGTAAATATTCTTTGGTTTGCAGTGATTATGGTTGATACAATGATACTGAATGTTCTTTTTTATTATTTTATTTCAGAAGTAGATCTGCTTGCAGGCTCTAATTTATTACCATAGATAGAGGTGCTGTCTCACTCTTAATTTTCCTGTTTCTGAAGTTGCTTCAGTTGTTTTCTTTGTTTCTTGTTAATGGTTGGCTAAGAATTTCATGATGATTTTGAAGCAGGAGTAGATATGATCTTAGTTTCAAAATATGGATAACTGGAGCGCTTGCAGATGGTGGAAACATGTCAACCTAGCACATGAGACATTGAGACCTCAATTTGAGGTATAATTATGGTGAATAGATTAGTCGTATGAGGAAAGATATCTAGTTTTTGTTTGTGTGCTTTTTGCTTTGTCCAAAGGCGTAGGGATAGGATTCAGGGGCAGAGTTTTATTGTGTTTACATTTGCACAGTAGTTGTAAAGAATGAACATAAATATTATGAAATAGAAATAATACTCTGAACGCCTATTGTTTGACATCTTCTGTTTTATTTGGTACGGTGGGAAGAGTATTCTGGTCTTGGAGGGTTTTAATTTTTTGTTTGAGATAATTTCTAATTTTTTTATTGCTTGTACTGTTTGACAGGCTTCCCTACATGGTTGGGGGGCAGCATAGCAAGCTGTGTAGTTATTATCCAATCCCTTTTTGGATATGGTTAATATTGGAGGCACTGCATTCTTCCTACTTCCGGAAGAGCTATTCCTCTATTTATTTGAGCTTCACCAAAAGGAGCAATGAGGTTGAAAATTTATATATTTTGCCTCTATTATGGTTCATTATATATCGCTGATAATGAGCATTGTTAGTCTTTTAAATCTAACATTTTAGCATGCTGGAAAATCTTGCTAATGTTCTTATCACTGTTCTTCATCCATGTACCACATTTTCTAAGTGTTACCATGGTTGTTGTGGCATCTCACAACAATGATTTTGTAACCCACTTAAGAATCTTCATAGCAATATGGTTCATTTGAAGATTTTGTTAACTTGCATTTCATGTTTATGATCTCCTAGGTTAAGGTATGTCCAAATTCACATCATACTTTGAACAAGGGTAGCATGTCTCTCTGATAAGCGGCTCTTGTTATTTCTAATTAGAAATTTAGAACAATTTAAGCTCCTCTTCAGTTAGTCCTAGTTGCAGTTATGCCTTGCTTAATAATTATTCTGTATGGTAGAGAGTTTACAGCCAGCCTCCTGGAAATTGTTTTTGGTGATATATAATTCAGCTTTCTTAAGATTCCAAGCTGTTTTTCATCATCCATGTTAGTCATCTAGAAGAAGGTTTCATACTGTGTCTTTGCAGACTGTTTTTGATCATTCTATTGTGTCCTTGATAGAAGGATTATATGAGAAAAAGATCTCTTTTCTATTTTCATTTTATTTTATTTTGTTTTTCCTTTTGTTTCTAAGGCAGTCAGGGTAATGTTACCTGATAAAAGTCAACCTCTGAAATTCTGTAGGGCATTTCCTTTCAAATTCTGAATTTGGGAAGCTCCAGAAAAGATGCCTCCCAAAATCTTTTTCTTTTAAATGTGGTCCTCTACTGTTCTTGAATCCTGGTATTTTAGGTGCACTAGAGAGATACAGGTTCTACTTCTGCAGAAGGGGGTTTTTTTTTTTTGAACCGTGTTCTTCCAGAGAACAATTAAATAAGAAAAAGTAGCTTGAAGTGACTTTATACCTTACAAAACTGGATTCTTTTTGAATTACTTTCAAGATTTTAAAGTAGGCATGTTTTCCTTTAATACAGTGTGTTTGGCATTGACCCCTCAACAAAACCCTCTGAAAGTTCCTACTCTAATCGCTGCAACAAAAATAATTGCAAAGGGAAGTTCCCACTTTCCAGATCATTTGCTAGATTTTAAGTAATGCGTTCCTTGCTCTTGTTGTTTGTGAATGATGTGGCCTTGAGCATTTTAGGGTCATCATGTTTAGGTTGTGATGTCTCTTTCATTCCATTTGGGGTTTTATTTGTCATCAAGAACCCCTGGTTTTATTATTCTGTCTACAAGCTGTGAATTGGCTTCTATGCAGGTGCAGTTGCCAGTGGCAATAGGCAAATAGCCAAGGTACAAGAAGTGCTTGCACAAAAATTTTACAGTTTCAATGGATACTAACTCAGCCAAGCTGTTGTTGGTAGATTGCCACTAGTACTCAATATTCAATACCATTCTGAGTCTTATGGAAATGAACATTGGTCATATTGGCCTATTGTTCAAAACGTGGGTGAAACTGATAAATCAATTCTCTTTGGCCTTATCATCCCTAAAGAAGGGTGATCTTTGGTCATATAGATATAAGAAATTTCTCCTTTTTTACAGTAATGAAAATACGTTATGTCGATATTCAGTGTTGCATTGGCATTTGTTCTTTCTTTTATAACATTTTTCTCTGTTATTTTCTTCTATTTCCTTATATTATATTGTTTGTTGGTTCTTTTGCTTTGAGATTCATTCATGTTTTACGGTCTGAAGTTTATGAATTTATTAACACTCTTAACGAAATTATTTGTTATTTGTTATGTTATTTTATTAAAAATATTTTAATAAATTTATAAGTCAGCTATAAAACACTTTTTTATTTTACTTTGGACTGATGGTCTGATCCGTATGTGTTTTGAAGTCCTAAAAATATGTTACATCAAATAAAACCGAGTCAATAGGAAACAATTCATCTATTTTTCCACCTCTCTTTTAAAAAAAAATAAAAATAAACTTTATAAGGAAAAGTCAAATATTCATTTGACCAATAGGTTTATTTGAATTACCATGTGCTACTTTATGTTTTTCTTCTATACCCTTTTTGATACGTGTCTGTGGAAACTGGAAATGGAAGCTCTCATTTATCCTTCTTTTTTTTATTTTTTTCTATGTTCATAAAAAAATTTGTTATTTTATTCTCATCTTTTCTTATTTAGGAAAAGTCAAATATTCACTTGACCAAAAGGATCCATCAACGAGGTATGTTCAAGATTGAAATTGAGGTCTTTTGAGTTTGTCATCTGGGTCAGATTTGCAATTTGGGCCAGGGTTTAGAGTCTGTAACTATCATGAAGCCTTTCTTAGATCCACTATTGAATTGTGAATGTTTTGTCCATGTAGTCATGTTATTAGAGCTACCCCATGGGTCGACCTAGTAAAAAGGCCTTCCAGTGTCCAGACCTAACACAAAAACCGGCCCAGTTAGGTCAGAAAATTGGCTTTCATAGTCCGTCCTTCGGATAGAGGACATATTTTATAACCATTAACGAAGAAAATCACCTCACTATCGTGAGCTTGTCTCTCATCAATAATTATAAAATATACAGTTTACGTATGACAAATTACGCATCACTTTTCTAAAAGAAAGAACTTAAGCAATAAAAAGACCAACAACATTATTAGTGGACAAAATTAGCCTTTGTACCTTCCAAAATCAAATCGCAGAAACAATGAAATGAAGTATCTGTGTTGGGCTAAAATCACCATTACCAAACAACATATATGTTTTTGTAAGGTGAATGTCTTTCCAGCTTGTTAGCATCCACGTGAAATTGTCACTTCTGTCTATATGCCTTTTTTCTCCCAATAAAGCCTCCAAATGCTTCCTTTACCACAACCCACGAATTCGATTTTCTTGTACAAGTTTTCTTGTTATTTGTATATCCATTTATCTACTTTTGCCGTTGGCATGAAAGTAAGTTCTTGGATTGTTAAAAAGAAAACAAAGGGCAGTATGAGCTGCTTTAAAAACGTGAGAGAAAGAACCTTTACTTCCAGAGCTAGTTTAGGAAACTAACAGCCGTTACTGAGTGTGGCAAGTTCAAATCATAGAAAAGGATCTTGTCCTTTTTGATTCATTATTGCAACCGTAGGTCAGTGGAGATGTACCTAGGGTTTGAGCAACTTTCTTTTTAAAAGATTTAGTTAAAGACAAGCAATTAATTTCTAGACGTAACGATTAAGAATTTCAAAGGAATCTCTCTTCTTTTTCTCCTTCTCTTCCAACCTACTATTGGTAATGATAATGTTCACCTTGGCTTGGCTTATTGAGTCTTATGATTTTAAAACACATTAATAGAAATTAATATGCGTTGACTTTTCTTCTTCTTCTTCCCAACTTACCATTAATAATGTTCAATTTGCCTCATTAGGTTTTATAGATTTAAAAC